ATGGGAAGGATTATCCCATATATTATGGACAATAAAAGATGTTTGAAACCACCAACCAGATAATTATATGTTTATGTATGTAGCTCCCTGTTCAAAGACTTTGTTATATATGCGCGACATAAATATATATATATATATGTGTGTGTGTGAATGTGGATCTATGGGTCTATCTTTCTATCTGTCTATCTATCTATCTGTCTGTCCGTCTGTCAATCTGTCTATCTATCTGTCTATCTATCTATCTATCTATCTATCTATCTGTGTATCTACCTATCTATCTATCTATCTATCTATCTATCTATCCATCTATCCATCTATCTATCTATCTATCTATGTATCTATGTATCTATGTATCTATGTATCTATGTGTATATTTATGTATGTATGTATGTATGTATGCATGTATGTATGTATGTATGTATGTATCTGTGTATGTATGTATGTATCTATCTATCTACCTATTTATCTAGCTATCTATCTATCTATCTGTCTATCTATCTATCTATCTGTCCGTCTGTCTATCTATCTATCTATATATCTACCTGTTGATCTATTTATCTATCTATCTATCTAGCTAGCTAGCTGGCTGGCTATCTATTCTTCTAATCTAATCTAATCTAATCTATCTATCTATCTCTGTATCTATCTATCTATCTACCTACCTATCTATCTGTCTAGTTATCTATCTATTTATCTATCTATCTATATCTATATCTATATATATATCTTTATCTATCTGTCTATCTGTCTATCTACCTAAATATTTATCTATATGTCTAAAGATCTACCTATCTATCTGTCTATCTGTCTATCTACCTAAATATTTATCTATATGTCTAAAGATCTATCTATCTATCTATCTGTCTGTCTGTCTATCTATCTGTCTATCTATCTATCCATCTGTCTAAAAATGTATCTATCTATCTTTCTATCTATCTAGCTAGCTATCTCTCATCTAGCTATCTACTTATTTATTTATATATATATATTTATCCATCTATCTATCTATCTATCTGTCTGTCTGTCTGTCTGTCTGTTTGTCTGTGTTTCTATGTATCTATGTATGTATCTATCTATCTATCTACCTATCTATCTATGTATCTATGTTTATGTTGGTGGATCTTTGTGCAAAGGCTTTGTTATATATGCACAACATACAATATGTATATATCTATATATATATATTATGAAACTGGATCTCTGTTCGAAGACTCTGCTTCACCAAAATATTCGAAAATTCCAAGTATCATTCAAGTATCAAATATATATATATATGCCAAAAACGAGGAAATACAACACTCATCTAAGTTGACAGCAGAAAATCATGCAATTTTCAGTGTGCCAAGTCCTTGCACATGGAGATGTTCTCTCGCCGGGTGAGTCAATGACTGGAAACCGTGAAAAAAACAAGGAAATACCGTGGTTTATTTTAACTGCTATTGTTCATAGGTATCGGGTTTCCTTGGGAATTATCTGGCCCTAGTCAACGATTGCCTTCCAATCCATTGAACAATCCGAATTTCCCATGCAAAACGCAGGTGAAAGAATACGGTGAGAAATCATGCAATTTGCAAGGCAACTGAAAACATATGGGCGGAAAACCGTCCGCTGGGATGGTTTTACCAACCATAACTGGATCATATTGGGGATGGTTGGCGGCATTGGCTTTATCTCATTAGGGAACTCTGTCATCTCCATTCTCTCGCGCTTCCAGTTTGGATCCTTTTGGTTGATGACTATGATGACTGACTATAGGGGTCGATACTTCACCAGATATCATGCCACTACTGTATACCCTCTGGTAAACTAACATAGCTAATTATTGAAAATGGCAATTTATGGTTGATTTACCCATTAAAAATTGTGATTTTCCATAGTTATGTTAGTTTACCAGAGGGTAGATTTCATCTGTGTGTTTCCAGCAGCCGCAGGTCCACTAGAAAAACACCAGAACCGTGCCTGGCACGGCTTGGAAGCCACATGAGCCTTAGCTGATCTCAGCACTGTGAGCCAGAGCTGTAAAGTCTGCATTTGGGGGTTTCTTAAATTGGGGTTCAGGATAAAGACAATATTAGTATCAGTACCAACAAATTATCCAAAAGGATCAAAAACATCCACAGGGGGATCCCCAAGTCACAATGGATTTCAATACGTTTCAATACTAAAATGGTCTAATATGGTCTAATATGGTGGATGATTTGGGGTACCCCCATGATAGGAACCCTCCATATTGGACTTCAGATGTAACGAGACAATGGAATTTGGTCTCAATTTGGAACCCCAAATTTCCCGTGGCTCATGATCTTGTCCAAATTTCGCCATTCAAACTGCCATTTTGGGATACCCGCAATCAAACATGGCTGGCTGGAAATCCACCATTTAGTTCGATGACTTTCCAAGGAAAACACCATGTACGGTTGATCTTCCAACGTTTCTTGACACCGTCGCAGCTGCCATTCCTCAGCTTCCCCACGGCCTCGACGACCTCCCAGATGCCGAAACCAACAAACAACGCGACACAAAGCCGTCTGAGTCGATGCAGCGGTCAAAGGGAACCGATACAGCTGACCATGGTGATGCCAACAAAGTTCTGCTACTTCATGGGGATTTCATGGGAATATTAGTGGCATATAAATGCGTATAGTATGTATATATATATATAAAGTATTTTATAGTAACATAATGGAATGTAACTACCCAACTATAGTATTTTTGGGTTTGGACGAACATGGGTAGCCCGCAAAATGGCTACTCAATGTTCTATCATTAAAAAATGGGCGCATGATGATTGGTCAATTGGGATCGTCAAGCTATTAACATCCTGCGCCGCATCCTGCGCCCGTCATTGAAGTCTTCATGATTATGATTGGGATTCTTGGGTGGTAACAGGTTGAGATTTTATCACCTTAAAACTCTTGAATCCTCTCCCGAAGTTGCGCCAAAAAAAAGACTCTGCACACAGCAGAGATCGCAGTGAACCGCCGCGGATTCGAGTTCCGTTTTTTTTCTGCGCAGCAGTGCGGATTTGAAAGGATGATCCTCCCAGGATGTTTTCGTCGACCTTGGCCACCCTTGTTCCAAAAAAGGGTTCCTTTGGGGGTGGAAAACAATCACTATTTGGAGGTTTCCTGAAATTAGGGGTACCCCTCAATCATCCATTTACAAAAATGATTTTCCGTTATAAAACCAACCAGCTATTGGGGACCCCCAATTTATGGAAACCACCATTTCATGATCTTCCGACGGCGTTTCTCCTTCTCCATTTGTTCCATCGGCAAGCTCCTGGGATGATACTGATGAAAATGATGAAACCTGGGCCCGCCGAGGCCTGATCTGCTGGTCAATGAATCATCACGAGGTTCTTGACACCAATGCCAAGACTGGCGAATATCATATACCCTCTGGTAATTTGTTACATAGCCATTGAAAATGGCCCATGGAAATAGTTGATTTGCCGAACCTAAAGATTGTGATTTTCCATAGCTACAAGGTGGTGCCCCCCCAGTTATAAATGGGTTATATTCCCAATAACTATAGATATAACACGTATAAACCATAGTTATTGGACTTATATACCAACTTAGCTATCTATGGGGCACCACCTTGTATGTTAGTTTACCAGAGGGTAATATCATCAATCTGAATGAGTTCCAATGCTTCACCAGCCTTTATCAACACGTCATATACTATCTCATGTTCAGGTGCTTTTCCCCTGCTGACCATCATCTACAGTGACATCTTATCTTTGTGCCGCCGAGCGCTATAATTCGCAAAATCATGAGGGGGGGTCATGACACTGCTCAGTTAAGCTGAACTCTGCCCTCCCTCACTACTACCTCAGGTTGGTGTCAGCAAAAAAAAAATGAATTCTCAGCCACATGCCAAACAAAAAAAAAGGTGCTGCCTAATGAATGGTTCCAACAGAGAGACATGGATTGCTATCATCCACTACGAGGATCCATCCAAAAGGCATTTTTTGTTCAAAAACTTCAAGTGTATCCGTATTAACCCCTTTCAGGATGATTGCTTGATATATCTTGATATTGCGTGGCAAACATCATGATCATATATCAATATATATCATATTCACTCCAAAACAAACTTACACATGTTCCCTTGCCATCTATCACTGCTATCACCATGACTGCCATGCCAATGACCATCAGCTCAGCTCAGGAAGCGCCGGATACTTTGGTATCCGACATCTCTCCGAAGGCGCTCCAAACAGGCGGACAGGCGGCTGCATGGAATTTCTGATGCTTGGTTGGCGGGGAAATTCGCCTGTCAATAGCTGCTGACAGAACAATTCTGTGTCAGTTCGTCTCCAGAACTACTATGGGATGCCACCAACATGTGATCCTTGCTAACAGATCTAACAGACAATTTTCTACTAAATGGTGCTCAAGGAAGACCAAGGGCTGGCCTGACATGTACAACTAAACTATTCAGAAATCATCCGAAAACATCATGGGGAGAGAGCGTCCTTCTCCCCCAAAAAAAGGGAAATCAACACGTATCAACCTAACAACTGTACGCCGGTTCTTAGTGTGGCACAAATCACTTCGCATCACTTCGCATTCACTTTTGGTTTTCCATCTTCAAAAGGTAAATCAATGTAAATCATCTATGCATGGGCCGTTTCCTTTTACGTGAAATTATCCATGACATAACAAAAATCACCTACAGCAGTATTTCTTCACGAATCCCTTCGCCGTTAAGCGCACCCCGGCACCCCTGCAAAAACCCAGGGCTTTCATGGAGGGATTTACACATTTGACTGGAACTTAGACTTCATAAACTTAACATGAAGGGGGAGATGGGATTACCCTACTGTTCTTCGCCGCAAGCATCGCAAGCCTGCCCGGAAAACATGGCATGTTTTTTTCACCAAAATGTAAGATGAAGCTGCCAGCGCTGGGATTGTTTGAGGATGGTGCAAATCAGTAGATCTAGGGCTACCCTACCATATTTTATCATATCTTATAATATTTTGAAACAAACCCCGCTGAGGATTGGGCTTCATTCCTTTGGAATGAAGATCTCATAGCGGTCAACTTGGACCGCCACATTTCTTCGTGGAAGCACACGCCCGTATTGGTCAAAGTCTGTCGGCCGCCTGTGTAGAACCAAAGGAGCGCTAGGGGAACTCAAGAGTGATATGGAACTTTCGAACAGGAAAGGTTAATTTTTCAGACCTGTAGAGCAGACTTGCTTTAAAACCTGATATAATTTCTGTAACTGTAACTTGATAGGAACATCCGGCCATGCCACAACAATCACAATACTAGAGACTCTCCAGCAATCAAACATGGCAATGAAAAGCACATCTAGTTCGATGATTTTCCCAGCTACAACCCTCTGTTTAGTTCAGTGGTTTTCCAGCCAGCAACGTTTGATGGCACCGCTACGGGTTTTTCGCCAATTGGGGGACGACTTTGCAACAATAATCACCACCATCATTTTGAGGTTGGCCAGTCAGATCGAACTAGGAAGCCAAATGGTAAAAGTTTTCCACGAGGGTGTGTGTGTGTATGTATATATCATACATGTGTGCGTGAAATGATAAACATATATTTCCTATAACTTTGCATTTGATATATGATAAAAATCATGTATAAATATATACATATATATGGATGTATGACCGGGAAAACGATGATATATGATATATATATATACATATAGCTAAATTAAGGGAATTCACCAACCTGAAGATAGCTTAACAAGGCCATTCGGATCCATTCAAGGATGATTTCCCTTCCTACGTAAATCATTCCAGTGACGTCACGGCGTGAGGTCATTGTAATTCAACCGTATATGTGTAATATATAAATATCTTTAAATATAAATATATATGTATACATACGTAATACATACCTATATATATATATATGTACATATATATTGAAATACATCCTATGGATCCAAACGCCTCCGGTACTTAACTCCCCAAATCATACCTCAAACACCCTCAAACACTTCCTAAGGTACTGGGATGCACATGGATGTATATTCTCATTTCCCTCCACTATCTCTAAGCCCTCCAGCTGTGTGATGCTGTGTGTATATCTTCGTCAAGCAACGCGTCTGGATTCCGCGCTCCGTGCCCTCACAGTGAAGCTGCACTTGTGCCTTCCTGGCAGCCGTGGTCATGGGCAAATCTCTTGGTCTGCAGCAAAACGCACCAGGTTATCATCCCATCTTTGGAGCACATGGGGAACCGTGGGCCATTCAGACTTGGATCACCATTCACAAAAAAACAATGAAAATTGAGTTTTTCACAGAGACAGGGTGTCAGTATTTCCTGACAAATATTGGGGCCCTTATTGGGGGTTAAGTAAAGCTTTTCATGAACCAAGCCTGAATCAAATCTGTTGGACGGCTACCCTATGACTTATGAAATATATATATATATACTCTTCCAACCTGCTTTGAAGCTCCGGTCTTTATGAATGATTATATTACACTATAAGTAAAATTTGATATAGATGGCTAACCTGGAGGCATGCCTCACATGATTGCATCATATGCTATAGCTGCTATAGTAATAATATGCCACGTACAAGTCTCAAAAAAAGTGTCAGAAAAAAAAGGCCGGCGAATGACCCACCAGTCGCCAAGCCTTGAATGATTGAAACAAATCCGAGTTGTATCAGCCCTCGCTAAGTTTTTCAAACATGTTATGTGTTTTGGATTTCAAAACATTTCAAAACCAGATTTACCCTCTGGTTATTTAACATAGCTATGGAAATGGCCCATAGAAATAGATGATAAGCAGGATGATTTACATAGTAAACATCGTGATTTCCCATGGCTACGTCAAAAATCACCACAGGCGAATGATCCCCCGGTGTTTTCCAAACATCGGCGCCTGAAAATCCTTGCCGTAGGGGCTCCCGTCCCAGGTGCAACAGCTTCCATGGCCTGGATCAATGGCCATGACTCAGGAACCGATTTATTGGAGGTACCTGCCATATATTTCAGGCCTACCCTCTGGTAAACTAACATAGCTATGGAAAATCACCGTTTTTAATGGGTAAATCCACTATGGCCAGTTTCAATAGCTATATTTGTTTACCAGAGGGTACCTGCCATCTATTTGAAGCTTATATATATATATACATTTATTTATTTATTTATTCATTTATTTATTTATTTGTATATAAGGCCTCTTTTTGAGGGAATATCCCCACAATTTTAGGATCCTGAAATTCCTATTGAATAGACGTCATCAATTCACAAAGAATAATGGTGTTATGATAAAACCTGTTAGGATCCCAGAGATGGAACGATTTCGTGCACCCGGCCTGTCTCCGTGGGAACCACCTGAGCGGAGACAGGATACATTTTGGGCGATGAGTCATCGCCTCATGTGACGCCAGGATCCTGCAGTGTCTGATCCGCGTTCCAAGTGGCACTATTGACTTCTACAACATTGCGGCTGCTCTCACTCCCAGTTCCTCAAGTCGGGCGGATATGGAGACCCACGGCCCACCGCAAAAAAAAGAGGATTCTCCTTCCAAAGTGTTTGAAACCACATAGCCAACAGAATATACAAGGCCATGAACACCACCAATTTGGTTGTTCATCGGTTTTTGGGGAACGAGTCTACTGTCAATGCTCAATGCTTTGGACACTACCTTCTCTAGACCCAAAACAACTCATAAACATGGGACAAAACAGGAATGAAACTATGAGTTGGGCGCGCACATATCGAAATAGAATCACGTTATTTACTTCATGGTTCATTCAAGTTCATTCATTCAAATACATACACGCATGCAAATATATATATATATATATATATTATATATATATATATATACAATTGTAAAATATATATAATATATATATATATGTATATAATTTGCATATTATACATATCGGTGCACAGTTGCCAGTTGGTCAGCCCACAGACCCTGACCAAAGGTCGGCAAATCTTTTCTTTATCGTTGTCTGCTAGGGATTTTGATCCATCCAAATCAGACACATGAATCATGGTGCCAAACACAACTATCACATTGTTGATTGGCATATATATATATATATATATACATATTTACCTCCATAATCTCTCCATTATATCCCCATAAACCGATTTGTTCCACCTCACATCACCAGCCTGACTCCTGCCATTTTACCAAATAGCCACCTGACTCGGTTTCCCAAAAACCGTGGCAATCTTTACTGCAGGATAATCCGTTCAAGAGAAAAACTGTGAAATGTCTAGATCAAAAAAACATAGTATAGGAAAGATAGTGGTAAACTTGCCATGGTTTATCAAAATACTTAACATTCAAACATATTCAAACACTGAAATGCGTCCACGATCGGCGACACCTCCTTCCGGCTGGTCCGTGATCGGCCTGGTGGCTGTCACATGCACCCCCCATCTTTTCGTCGAAAAACAGAAAACAAACTCCCACTTAAACGAAGTCCATGACGGAATGGCAGTGAAGAATCTCACTCATGTGAGTCATTCAAAATACCCCAGTAGCCAGGCTGCCCATGAAATATGTTACGTTGGTTGAAAACGGGTTCCCAATCCTGGCTAGTTCATAATCCCCAGTGGACCCCCAGGAACGCAGAATTCTCGATTCAACAACTCAACAATGTTATTTTGAACGGCTCATGCGATGTGTGGCGAAAAATTGGTCAGATAGGTCTCAACGATCTGGTTGGTCAGACGGTCAGACCCATCATTTTCTTTGATTCACATATGGGGGGTTCTTAAGTCATGAGGAATGAGAAATCCCCAGTCGTCACCATGGTTGTTAACCTAAGTCATGGTCATGACGACTGGATGAGAACTGGGGGTACTATGACTCAGGAAACCTTCAAAGCATGCAACAATGTCTTGGTTTCAACTGGCCACCAGTGAAGTAGCTGCCTGCTGTTCTTCAGTGCTTGTTCTTGGAGGCGAACCATATCCTTGAAACCGCCGCGGCGGCAAAAGAACAGCTAACCTTTTAGCAAACACGTTGCAACATATCAGCATTATAATCAGCTACTGAAAAAATAGAAGTTCAAATTGAGCAAGAAGTTTAACATAGCGCAACCACGAAACATTTGATCATTTCACCATGAAAACATTTCAGAGCTCACCACCTGAATGATCCACCTCGGGGTCGATTCTAATACTTTTATTCAGCCCACGACCAGAGGGAACAAAAACCTGATGCAATCCTCACCGGTGGTTCTGCAAACACTCACCGGTTACAGTGATATCTTAAACTCATCTTGGATGCACCATACCCAATATGGATTCAACAAAGCCACATGTAAATTGCTTGGCTATATCTCCCACAGATATCTCATCGATATCATGAAAATATGAGAGATAACTCGTTGATAAACCTGAATCGCCCGGAGTTGTCGCCCGGGATAATCAGAAAAAAGTATATACCCCCAAGATACCAAGTATTGATAGATTATGTTCCCAGTATACCGAGTATTCACATGATATCCGTAATATGATGCGTTATTATGTATGGTTCATTACAGTCAGTCCCGTTCTTTCATGCTAATATCCGGACCAAATCCCAAATATAACATAATAAGTGTGACAACCCAAATAGCTATTTAATTAACCAAAGTAGTTTTTTTCGCTTTGAGGATGATCCCCCGTGCAGTTTCATCATTCCAGTAACGTGTGAAAAAAAATCCTCATCCATCCCAGGATGGCAATCCAATCCTACTTTTGACTATGATTGGTGTTGGAATTATTTATATCTATGTTCACTTGTAACAAAAATATGTAAATATGTACATATATATATATATGTATAGATGCATATGGCCATTCATATCCATTAAATCATTGAGACGATTCCATTAAATCACAATTTTGACTGATCAAATCCAACTGACCAACTACCCTCTGGCAAACTCAGAGTTTGCTATTGAACATGGATATTTCGTCCGTTGATTTACTCATTAAGAACGATGATGTTCCATCGTTTTTTTCTATTACCAGAGGCAATTCGCCCATAAAAACCATGGATTTTCCACGAATTCGCCTTCTGCATCCCTCGGATCATCTTTCTTAGCTCCACCACATCCTGGATCGGGATCCATGTTCCGGAGAAAAAATATGGGGGTTTTAGCATCAAAACATCTAGCAGCTTCAGCAAAAAAAAACACAGTAAAAACACCTGTTTACCCAAAACAAACATGTTTTTTGTGTTCATGGTTCGTTATTGATCATATATGGTATATCATATAGGTTTAACGTTTACCGAATAACAGGCATTAAGAGGTGTATTTTGCGCAACAAACCTATGGCCACACAAATAATTTTAAATACATGAGGTCGCCGCTGCTCAGCTGGGATTTAACATGTGTTTTTTCCACCATTCTCTTTTGCCTTCCAGGCATCTTGCAGGCATCTACATGCACGAGCAGCTTGCAAATGCCTTTCGAACCAGTTGCCAAATATTGCCAAATTGATCTTTCCATCAGTGGGATTTCACTATGAAAAATTGGGGCACCTATATATACCTATTCGAAAATCTCCTGTACATATGGTGGATATATTGGGATATATACAATAAGATGGTATCATCGAAATATAATGAGATACACAACCATCGGAAGCCTCAAGGAGAATCCCCAAAATGTCGGATGGTGCTCATTTGGGTTCCACCTGACGGGTTATAACAATCCCTAAGCTACAAGTTGGCTAACCCTCTTTCAGCCTCTTCCAACGGTGGCGTTTTTAGAACCCCTCGATGTTCAAAATATTGATTTGTGACTCTGGATTCCTGAAAAGTGGGTGGCTTCAACAAAACCCCCAAACTAACTGTTCCAAACTGATCAAACTGCGGATCGTCCATCGTGGTCCCAGATGTCTCTACGGACTACGGACCCTTTTCTTTTCCGGATGACATGGAGCGAAACGTTGTCCCATTTTTGTTCCACTACAATGGATGCTACCAAGCTTAGTTCCTGGGGTTTTGGGGTGGTAGCCGTCTGGTGGCCGCTGATCTGTTGAAGATTCATATCCATTCCGGTCCTTCCGTGTTTTTCTTGCTGCCCTTTGCATATTCATAAAATTCCTTAGAATCAGTAGGAATAATATGGAATATGATCATTGGACATTTCAGGACCCTAAAATAGAGGTACTGTACAAAAAGCACCATGGGGTATATCCTGTTGATGGCCATTGATGTCGGATTTTTCAAGGTGGCCTTAAATTGGGCATCACGACTCATCGCCCCAATCGCCACAACTGGAACGTCCCAAAAGAACTCGAGACATTTGAGGATTGTCCGATTGTCCATTTCCACCTTTGAATATCTTGAACATAGTCGTAAGCATATTAGATAGGTCGACACATGTCAACACTCCTACCATTGGGCTGATATGGTAGGTTCTGGTACCAAAAAAGGCCGGCTCCTTCACGGTGGCAGTGTTGCTTCCCCGCAGCCTTGGAGCTCGAGTTTGGGAACGGAGCATTTGAGCCACGAAAAATGCTTGGGAAAGGCCTTCACTTCATTCAACAAATTGCTTGGTTGAAGGGAAAATTCAGAGGGTGAAACATGGTGAAACATGATGAAACATGGGTTGGGAATGGTTGGGATTGATTGACGGGTGATACTTTGCCAGTAGCTTTAGCAGCTATAACAAGAACATTGGTGAGATTCCCCATCCCAATTTGACCCTGAAATATCCTGAAATGATGAAGTACGCATGGGTCTGCCATGCTGATCCTGAGCAACAGAGTATGCTGGAAGTGGAAGGAAGGAAAAAACAGTTTTTGAGAGTTTGAGAGCTGGTCGAAGGTGAAGGTTGCAGACAAAAAACGGCATCAAAGTATGACTGGCACAAAGCTACACGTTTTTTCTCCAGGCCAACGGGTCAGGTGCTCGGTTCATGGATGTTAGCGGGCAAATGGATGTCCATGCTCCCCAAATATTGTAGTACAACATGGTTACCAGGGAAAAAACTACGATTTTGGGGTGGTTTATAACTTAAACTAATGTTTGAATATGTTTAAATGGTTTATGACATTGGGTTTACCACACCTCTATTTCGTGACGAAGTCAGAAGGGCCCCTGAAATATTCCCAATAAGGGACTCCAAAATCAACAGGTCCTCCAATTCTAAATCAGGGTTTCGATTGGGAGTACACAAAAAAAAAACTGACTATGAATTAGGAGTGTCGTCCCCCAAAACAATGCCAAACTGCGAGAAAACTTGATAGCCCCCCACCTGGTAAACCTGTAAAGCAATTTCACTAAAACTCTCGCGTCAACGTTGCCAAGCAGCCCCAGCACCACTTCCACAAACTCGTCGAAACTCATCGTTGGTTCCAAACCAGACTTCGCGGAGCGAGAGTCCTGGCTGATCAACGTCCACCGGGGATCCCCCGGGGTCTTAAGCGACCCAGAGGAGCTTGCCTTGAAGCACGCGTCCACCGTCTCCATTAGCGTCTCAGCATCCACACCTGCGTCGTGACAAATAGTCATAGCGGCTAATCATGGCTAAACATGGCTAGTAATCGTTGAGAATGGTCAATAATAATAATAATAATGCTATTAATCATTATGATTACATAACAATGAATATTCATATATTTTCAACATACAGTGGGTGGAAGAAATCCTGCACAGGTTGATATGTCACGGTTTATCCCATTATTATAGGGTTTCAAACTTTGGTGGCGCAGGAATTCGCAACCATCCACAATATTTCTGATCAACCACATTGTTTGGGTGCTGTTTTTTCAGCCAAAAACTTAATTATCTCAATGATCCAAATGAAATTCAATTATTGGGATCATGCCCGGATCAGCTGGTGACGACCAACCTGGCGAATGGTGATAGCAATGGATGACCTCTCATGACCTTGTGAACCTTGAGGGCTTTGGACACTCGTTCAATGGTTTCTTTTTGCCCTCTCAAAACCAGTTTCAAGGGAACATCAAAAACCCATGGGGGTCCCGCGGCTTCCTGAGGTTTGACCCAACAAAAAAAACCAGGCAGCACCGTTGTTGGTTGCAAGGTCTAGGTATTGGCAGCACCGGGCCCGACGCCTATGAGTTTCAGGGATGACATGGCATGTTGGCCGCAAAGGATTGCAACCAATTCCTGGGAGCTCAGCAGTTTTGCTGGGAAAACTCACAAAAATGCCATGGGAATCCACAGGGAGTGCACCCTTGTTAAGCTACCCACCCTTTCAATGGAATTGGCCAGTGGGGTCCAACCTGGTCCAGCCCCTTTTTGGGGACTTTTGTTGAAAAGAATAAACATTCTCCGCTACCCCAGCCAGACTATTGACAAGACATCTCTCCATTCATTCATCCACTCTACTTAGCCATGTTATTGGCTAGCTGGTAGTTGGAACGAGAACATGTCCCAACCAGAACTGAGATAAACATTAACATGACTAATAAACACACACACGCGCACACACACACATATATATATATATATACATATGCATACTTATGTATATATATATATGTGCGTATACATATCACACAAATACATACATATATATATATATATATATGTTTGACTAAATATAAAAACATGTAATATATACATTAAATTATATATAAGTGTGTGTTAAATACATATTTATTGTATATATTAAATATTATATATTTATTATATTTCATATATTTATATACTATGTTGTATTTGATAATATTAAGTTATTTTATATCAGATTATACTTTACTATATTATGTTATATTATGTTTTGTAATTTGATATGATACATTAAAGATAAACTATTTATTATAAGTATATTTAAATATGATATATATATATATATTATATATAAATAATTATATATATGATATTACATATATATATATAAATATTATATATACATAAATATGAATCACTCAATAAACAAATAATAGAATCGAATATACAACTGCGTATCTTTCATGGGTGAGCAAACCCACTTAGCTAGGCTAACTCCATCATGTCGATTTTAGGCTCCTCTCATTTGAAATCATGTCATGTTATGTTACCATGTCATGTCGGCAAGGGTGGTTTATGGCCTAGCCACCTGGCCATATCCGAAATCAGAAATTTGCAGGCACGTTTTCACCCCCATGCTGTCCGGTCTTCGTTGGCCAGGACAGACAGTCATGGGTTCCTGGCCCCCTGCTGATGCCCTTTGATTCAGGGCTTTCCACACACACCAAGACGCTTGGGCACGATTTTGCGAACCAGAAAAGTGGTCCTCAATGTAGCGTGCTGCTTCCCACTGTGTTGTGTTGTGACATGGAACATGGTGCTCAAATGTCTGTGACGTTGCGTGGCTTGCTCCAACATAAAACCAAGGGAAGTTTCACGGCGCTCAGCGCAAGTTCCGCGGAAAAGGCCGATAACAGCAAACCACTGCATCAGAGTTTCCGGCTGTTCAGCAAGCAACCAACGACCGACAAACAAGGCTTGTAACGGCATGGTGCTGTTTCCCTCAGTGCTGGGTCGTGACATGGAACGGAGTGCGCAAATGTCTGTGTACATGGGTCGCGGGTGTCACCAATGAAGAGTGGCGTTTTGCTTGCTCCAACAAAAACCAAAGGAAGTTTCACGGCGTTCAGTACAATTTCCACTGAAGAAGGCTGACCAAAAAGCAAACCACTGCATCACAATTTCCGGCTGTTCAGCAAGCAACCAACGACTGACAAAAAAGGCTGGTAACGGCATGGTGCTGTTTCTCTCAGCGCTTGGTTGTGCCTTGCTAGGTGAACATGAATCGTGGATGGCACGTTGAAATCTGGGGATGAAAAATCTGTATACTGGCGAATTCTGAACATGTAATCTGGCGATGTCTGAAAGACTCTGCTTCTGCTGGAGAATTCTGATAAGAAACGTCTGGATGCTTGTGCGGAATCTGCTTCTGGCAACATGATGTCTGGGAAATGTTGAGAGTAATCCGGTTTTCGTGGTGGACGCACCACCAAGCTTCCCCGGCACTTTCTTAGAGATCCGGGTGCATGAAAGACACACTTGGATATACCCCAAAGGGAGAGGATGAAATGAGATGAAATGAAATCATTTAATGTTATGTTACCATGTCATGTCGGCAAGGGTGGTTTATGGCTTAGCCACCTGGCCATATCCGAAATCAGAAATTTGCAGGCACGTTTTCACCCCCATGCTGTCCGGTCTTCGTTGGCCAGGACAGACAGTCATGGGTTCCTGGCCCCCTGCTGATGCCCTTTGATTCAGGGCTTTCCACACACACACACACATTTACAGATACACACACAAACATCATCGCACGCACACATGCGCATAGAATATATATATATATATATATCAAAGGTACCCTAGGGATCCCTAGGGTAAAGTAACATAGATGTGGAAAGCCAATGGTTTCCGCAGTGATTTCCCCCTGGGACGCCCTGCAGATCGTTGAATCCGGTCGGCGTCTCCCATAAATTGACAGATGATATCGCTGACCCACTGCACCTTCACCGATTCCCTGGCATGGTGATTGAAGCAGCAAAAACCGATCTCCATAGGTTTTCAATGGGAAAGTGATGTACCCTCTGGCGATCTAAACGTTTGCCGAAAGTGGCCATGAAAAGGGGTACTGTTTAGTCATTTAATTGTCATCTAGACATGGGTAGTTTCCCATGATGGTTTTTGTATCAACATTTGGTCCCATTGGTCCCTGAGTGTAGGTTAACAAATTGTGTTGATTAAACAGATATTTGGTGATGTTCGAATGAACACAACAGGAAATAGTTAATCAATTATCGTTATCGAAATAGTTTGTTCATATGTTGATATGTTGGAAATAGTTCTCCACCTTTTGGCCATCCAAACATCCCAGAAGCTTGCCATACGGCCGGCCCCGTTTTACGAAGCCCAACCGGGGGGGGGCATCAATCTACTCATGTTGAGTGCCCAACAAAAACATGGCTGTTCAATAGCATAGATGGCCCATCTATGGCATAGGTACATTGAATGATTGGGAACGTTGATTACATCTTTCGTGTTTAAAACAACTTCTGGAATCCAAACTAAGGAAGTGGACGCCGACCTGGATCAGCAAATCCTGCTTGATGGCTGGTCCACAGCCAATCCCAGCTATGGTCCAAAAAAGAAAACATTACCCTCTGGTAAATTAAGATAGACCGCGGAAAAAACCTTGTTTTTTGTGGAAACTCACCTTCCAACCCCTATTCTGCTGGGGTCAAAATGTTAATTTACTGGAGGGTAGATCTCCATATTGGGATGAATTGTTGGGGGCTGCCTCTCGGCCATGGCCACCGTGCTGATCACTTCGACCACAATTCCAACCAAGATGTTCATCAGAGTGATGGCCTGGTTACGCATCAAAAATGATGATATGGAATATACCTAAGGTAGCATGGGAATAATGAGATATATAATGACATATATCAACACATAAAAACAATGGAATATCATTGGCTAAATGCGCACACGCACATATATATATAATGGGAATTAATGGGATGAATACTGTTGATACAATGGAATATCATTGGTATCATGAATGCTATAGAAAATATCATCAAGATTCATCAACACCAGTGGAACGGCCTTTAAGGGCCTTAAGCATCAAACATGGAGAAGGAAGTCAATTTCCAGGGTGCCCCAGACATTGCCCCTGACAGCTGTAAAGAAATGATAAAACCTACCCTCTGGTAACCTAACGTGGCTATGGAAAATCACCATTATTATTAATGGGTAAATCGACTATAAATGGCAATTTTCAATAGCTATGTTAAATTACCGGAAGGTAAGGTCAAGATGTGATCGATTCTCCACATTCCTGCAAAGGTATGCAACACACAGGGATGATCCTGCCATTGCATGGCATGGTTCACCATAGATTGATCGCTGCACACAATCAATCATAGGATGTCAATAGATGTGGATACCCCACAATAACTCTGTCCAGATCTATATGGCAATTGGCAAAGTTGTACCAAACAATGGAACATATTTTACAAATCAAGTTTTGCCAGATCGTGGGACGTCAACTAGGACTCTATTCCAACCCAATCTGCTTGTATGGCAACAAAAACGATCAAGTCATAGTTCGCCCCATCGGTCATCGGTGCCAGGTCACATTGATAAACATCACGCAGTAGACAGATACCAGGTGGAACCACAGCTTTTCTTTCCAGAGCTCGTTCTTGGCCGAAACAACTTGAGCGACTGGGACCGGTGGTCATCCGAAAACGCAACCATTTTTCGAAGCAACCAATGCAAATAATACAGCACCCCTAACAAAATATGTTTGTCAAAGCACAACAAATCTAGGATCATGGATTTCTCGATGATGTTTCCACACCATTTCCGTTTTCGACTTCTTGTGGGCGGCAAAAACTGCACCGAAAGTCATCCAAGTCGTCCCGCTGGCCCATCTCCGGGCGGGAATTGAACTTTGCGAACTTTCTGCCATCTTTCTGGGGGCTGCAATATGCTGCCATATACTGTATATATATATATATATCATAGAAATTCAAAGAAGTCTAGGCATAGTCTATTAGGAGATATTAGGAGGCTATATGCTATAGTTTCGGGGGAATTGAGACATACCTACCCCTGTTTGGAATCCAATGCAACCTCAGGAGCTACTTGTACTGTGCCCCCCCCCAAAAAAAAACATGGAATTTAGATTGCATCCCAGGTCCCATCTCTTTGTGAGAGCTTCTAACTCAGTACGAAACACTCACAAAACTAATAATGAACCTCAAGATCTACCCAGCACACAACTTTTGCTCTCTCCCCTTCTCTTGTTCCCTCTCTCTCTCTCTCAAACATCATCGTCTGCATGTGTTAAACACATCAAAAAATGCTGCTTTACACGGCTAAATTTGGATTTGCACGGGAGCCCTTTCCCCCGTCTCCCCAAAAAACAACTCATGATTCCCATTTTTTTCTGTTCATAGATTTCATACGGGCAATTCGAAAACGACTCAGCAAAACCAGATCTGAGGGTCAACCAACTGGTAGACCTCATCCAGGAGCGTGCAATGAACGAAGAGCGTCTGCATCGAAGCCTCAGCGATCCAACGCCAGCTTTTTTCCGGATGGGAGGATGGACCCGACCGTGCTGGACCAACACAGAACGGGCTCGAAACACCACCAAAATCATGTTTTTAAAAGGTTTTAAGCATGACAAGCTGCCACCGAAAAGTGGGTTTGGAGAATGAAGCAAGGGGCGCAAGGGGTGCAAATTGAAGTACCCAATACATTTACATGGCAGCTATATAGGTTTGATGCTGTGGTTTACATTGAACAGCCACCTGCCAGGTAAGGACCCCCAGATCTTACGCCCACGGGGAGCAAAAGGGCTCAGAATGTCTGACTATGTGAGGTAAAATCGAAGGTAACATGTCAAATGACATGTCAGTTGGTGGGGATCACTCGAAAATGAAGTAACTGTCGGTAAAACCGAGTTTGTTTCCTGGGTTGGAAAGAATTTCCTTTTGGCTCTTTAACGTATAGCGAACTAGAAACTCACCATGTTTTTATAGGTAAACAGACATGATACAATCGTGTTTTATCATCTATGTGCCATGGCTTCCCAGCGAAAATGCCAAGACCTCGGAACGAACACCAGGGCCAGGCAGCTACGACAGAACCGAACATCTCCGTTCCGACCACTTGTCCCTGCAGGGTTACCTGGCAAGCTTCACAGACGATGTTTTTAGCTGATACATCACCAGTTTGAATGGGAATCTAACGGGATCCCCAATTATCAATCAATTAGATATACAGATATATCATGATATTTCACCAACATAGCTATAGTTGGCTAAGTTGGTGAACATAACTATGAATTTAGATGGTGGATATGGGGTTAAACCAGCTTAGGGACCACCTTGTATCAGTCGTCGTGATTCCATCTCGGCAGGCAGTTCCCATTGAAAACATACACGTGTGATATGGTTTTGGTATCTAGTTGTTTAGGGGAAAAAAACTCCAAAATTCAATGTTTTATCATCATGTTCATGTATGTTAGCTATGTTCCATGTAGTTTCCCTATTTTTTGATCACCAGTTTGCAGGTATGTCCCATTTTCAAACAGTGAATATGTAACTACTACTACGCAAAAAATAGCAGGGTTCCCCGCGCGTGTTGTATATGTACGGTATATATGGAGTATATGTGTATATATAATAATATTATTATTACTATATTATATATATGTACATATACATATGCACGATCAATAAATGGAAGGGACATACAGCTGGGATGTCCCGGGATTCGTTGGATTTCATCGAGGCGGGTTTTGCAAAACCCCTCAGAGTTTCATAGTCCGAGTCAACATGCTGGTTGGTGGTTGAGCCACCCCTCTGAAAAATATGAAAGTCAGTTGGAATTACTATTCCCAATATATGGAAAAACAAAAAAATGTTTCAAACCACCAGCCAACATGTGTTTGCCCCACATTCCACTTTTTGAACCATTGAATGGGCCGATGATGCGCCCATGTTTGAACCATCCAAAAAAGGAAGGATTTCCGAGCTGCACCCACCACCTCAAGTTGAAATGACCCAAATAAATCTAGGGGAATGTCAACAAGTCTTAAACTGGAAATACATCACTAATCCCATCCTCCTAACATTGAACACCTCTAGAAATTATGGTTAAATGGAGAGAAGATTCACACATATCTGGCACCAGCTGGGGGTGTGGGTCGGGAAACTCTGTCTTGTTCCCCCCTTAATATCACTTCAACGGGAAGATGGCATGAGCATGGATACAACCATAACTGGTAACTCCAGCTTCAGTTCCACTTACGACCTTGGAGGACAAACTTGCCGCCGGATGATTCTATGTCATATGTGATTCTCCAAGTTCCCAAGCATCATTTCTGAACATATACAATGACAATAATAGTATATCTATGTATATCTTGGGGATGATCCCCCAGAAGTTGAGATGATCCCGGTTCCCATCATTTCTGGCCGGTTAGGTCCTTAGGGAACTGCCAGGATGGCTAGGCACATGAAATGCAATGGCCAGGGTGTAGTGCGAGGCTAACAGCAGGAGGAGGGCAAAGAAGACCTGATGAAGAACAAGTTTGGAAAGTCTGGAGGCCCAGGTCTGTGACCCTCCAAATGGCTCAGGTTGTATGGATTCTTGGGAAAATCCAGAGGCATCCCAAGTTTTACTTCAAAAATGGGACAATAGGGGGGCTGGCAATTTGCAAAGATGAAAGAACATGATTGGGTTTTACTTTCAAATCGAATGGACCCTGTCAATGTTCTCCGGTATCGGTATAGAAATCTGGGAAAAGACAGGTGCTCGCTGGGATGTCAGTGGGGAATTGTTCATGATCTCAAATGGAGCAATGTTCAAAACCCTCTGTGCACTGTGGGAATCCCCAATATACTGGGTAGCATAACCCCCTACAATCATCAACCAACAAGATTTTTTGAACTCTGCTCAGTTCTTGATACTGTAAATACTGTAAATCTACCAAGGGGGGATTTTCCATTGTGATCTTTGAAAAAGAGATGGTGCCCGACATGGGTGTATCGGTATATCACTCACATGCTGGCTTCAAACAAGACTGAAATAGATGGAAATGGGACGATCCAAAGGGATAAAAGCCAACAGGAAGCTTAATTTGGGCCCATCATCAGCAATGATGTCAGTGGGAATTTCAGGATCCTAAAATGGAGGTATTGTATTATAGAAGGCCATATTCTGTGGTGATATTCCATCACATATAGGTCTTCTATCTGGTAGCTACCTCCAATTTAGGTTCCTGAATAATGTGGTAAACCCAATGATAAACCATCCCGAATTGAGGTTTATCATTGAGTATACCCCTAGGACTCGGATGACGTAGACTGATCCCCACATGGTTAGTTAACAGAGTTGACAGGATAGTTTACTATTGCATGGGATCTATTGGCAATTGGGATTGGGCCGTTCTCCATTTCTTTGTTGAAATATCAGAGGGCACGCATGCTTTGTTTTCATTGTTAAACAGCATGGATTTTTCCCCAAGGAAAAACGGAACCAACTGGAGCTCAACATCAGCAAAACGAACTTGAAGGAACAAAACCTTGAAGCGACCAGAATGTTTCCTTGAAACGCATCATCATAATCTTTTGGGAAGTAGAGAACTAAGTAGCGTGAAATGTTCAGAAATCATCACCGGCATGTTCGCCGAATTCAAGGCTGTAAATCATAAAATAATCTAAGGACTTTGATGCAGTCACATAGTTTGTACGTCCAGAGAAAGAGAAAATACATAATGTTGTTAAAACAATATTAAACCATCCCCAAACTCACCATAAATGGGTGGTATAAACCATCAAACACGGGGTGGTTTATTATGGTTTTAATCACGTTAAATCTTTGTTCCATTAAAAATTACACCAGCGCTATCCCCATGTCCGGCCAGCGTAGATCTTGCGAACACGGCTTGGCCCGGGTCACGTCGTAAAACCAGATTCAAAGTTCCTGTAACTTTGTGCCAATTTTGTATCATATCTGCTTATATATATATACACACCATTATTAATATAATTTATAATCCATAACCTCATTAAACATAGCGATTGGAAATCATCCCGTTTATAAATGATTTTCCCATTGGAACCTAACCTCTATTTGTAGGGGATTTCCCATTGCCACGTTTAAATATCAGAGGGTACACATCCCATTATCATCCCATTAGTACTAGGATTGTGTTAAGTTATTACCATTAAATTCCCTTCTTCTCCGATTATTATCGCACTCTTCCTCCCTTTATATCCCTATTTCCATGGATTGGCTTAAGGGGAAAATCTGGAAAACCATACATTTTTCCCGTGATTTCTATGGGGGTCAGCCCTGTAATTTTTCCCCAACAAACCAACCCGTTGACTCCCCAGAATCACCATGAAATCACCATGAATTCCCATGAAATCCCATAGGTGATCCCATCATCCCATGATCATCCAGTGATCCCATCGGTCGCAGAGTCACGGCCCGAAAGGCAGTAACAATGGCTTTGATCAGGATCTGAAGCTCTGGAAAGAACCTGCGAAAGTTCGAAGGCCGCTAAGGGCGAGGATACATGATGAATCAAACATGGGGATATAAAATGAATAAGGTGGTAAATTTATTATAAATCATGGTTTAATATGGTTTAATGGTTTATACTTAATATTAATAATGATATGAAAATGAAGAATTTGGGGATGATTATGAGCCATACAAAGCCAATAATTAATAAACAACCCCCAACATCACCATTTTTGGTGCGATTTCGGCCCAGAACACCGGTCCAGCTCTCCGAGAGAGGAGGTGGCCTCTCTAGGCAACCAAAAGAATGCGGAAAAGATATGTATTAAACCCCAGCCAACTCATTTCCCTTGATTTCCCTGATCAAGTGTCCAAACTCGACATCTCGAAGGGGATTAAGTGGGTTTTTCTGCGCCCAAAAAAATTGATGTGTTTTTCATCATAGTAACATGGCCAAACAATGCCATAAACAGCTGCATACCCCACATTCAGACCAACCCACGTGCACCAAAAGACAATTCAACATAACCTCCGGTAAACTAGCATAGCTATTGAGAATAATCCGTTTTTGATAAGTAAGTCAATTATAAATGGCCCATTTTCCATAGATTTCCATAGTTATGTTACTTGACCAGGTCAAATCCGACCTTTTTTCGCGTTGTTTGCTCGCCTCACCAACTTTACCACTCGTCCAAGACGTGTGAGGCGCAAAATCCTTGCGACCCGCTGTGGAAACGGATTTCGAGATTGAGAAATAACCAAAACCCAGACAGACCTGATGGGGACTAACACCAACTCCCATTATTATCCCATTATTATTCCATTATTAATTATTATCCAATTGTTATCCCATTAGTATAAATGATTTTCACATTATCCCATGATCGTCCCTTTATATAATGAATGTATAGCCATGAACATCCCATCATCCCACCATCCCACCCGCCCGAAGACTTCCGACCCCAAAACTGGTCCTAAAGAGGCGAATGATCTCTGATCGGCCTTGGATTTTGCGCATATCTCACATGTTCAGGACATATACGCCAATCTCAGCAAAATATCTACATTAATCTACGACCTACACAATCTATTTTAAAAAATTAAATAAACAAATTATGTATATGCATTAAATACATTACATATGTACATGTGTATATATATATATATAATATCGAACGATTCACATATGCAACGGCAATGCAACGAATCCATGTGGGGATATCACCTGCCACCCGCCTCAGAGCTGAGCAAAAAAAAACAAAAAGTGAAGTTTCCTGCAGAAACAGTGATTCTCGTTGGTGGTATTTATGCTCTGAAACCATCTAAAGACCCACCCAACAAAATGTAAAACCCACCCAGCAATTTATATTTCTGCAAACATAACATCAGCACCAATCCAGGCGAAACATGGAGGATAGAACGAAACCAGCAACCATTTTGCATGCCGCATGCCCCTAGCAATGCAGGTTCTGCCCCAGCTATGAGCTGGCATCAATCACAGTGAGTAAGGCCCAAAACACTTAAACACCATGATCATCCTTCATCTAAGGGGCACGAAATGGATTGTTTATATCATTAACATATATCATTGGTGATTGGGGCACTTCAATCCAATGAAATGGTCCCCTTTTTAAAATCCCTCCGCGTCTTTGTTTAAAATCCCTGCGAGTTCTCCCCAAGTTTTGAGCTGGTTTATGGCCCCCCATGGACTATATAAATATGTATTATATCTAAAATATATATATATATTATATATATTTAAATAATATTATATATATTATATATATATAGCTACATTGAATCTACAAATATTGAGCACAAACCCGTGTCTGGTAACCATGGCATCCCAATTATCACACGGTATCCCACCTACGGTAGTCATATCCCGCGTGGACACATTTCCTAGAACTTTCATCTTTAGGGATAGGATGAGAATAGTATATAACTTAGAATAATGAATATTTTGAATGAACTCATGGTGGGAGAGGAACTGACATGTGAGTCTAGTTCCATGGATCAAGTATTATTATGGATCCTATGAACTGTAGATATCTACCAAAAAAATGACTTGTTTGAGTTACAAGCCAACTTAGCTAATCAACTAGGGGGAACCCCACCAAATCCAATGAAACCACCGTTTTTGTTGGGAAAATGCCTAACTTTGTACACCAAACCACCACTAAATCCAATGAAATCCCATTAAATCCGCTGTTGGAGCTATATTATATTTAAAAAAATCCTTAAATCAAAAAAAACATTGTTGTTGGTGAAATCCATTTAAAACCATAATTCAGTCATCGGAATACTCATTCCATGAGACAAGTCCCAAAAATTACACCGGCAAGAGGCCCCAAACAGTGTGGGAGGTAGGAAGCCAATGTACCAGATACAAGCAACAGTAGCTATGGAACAGTAACATATCAGGTTAGACAGACATCATCGGAACTGCAGTTACAAGATTTTGTTTTGGTATAGGACGCATGTCTGCTAGTGAGGACCGCATACCAGAACCTCTAGAAAATGCCAAAAGATTGTCAAAGAAGGACCGTCTAGGTATTATTACAGGATCTCACAAGATTTTCAGCCAAGAAATTCTTATGAACATCCCAAAAGAACTTTCATACAAGCACCAACGCAGAGCATATTCAGTATCTTAATGCACGGACCTCTTGAGGATGATTTCAGCAGGATCTTCACAAGATCTTCTCACGGGGACATGTACAAGATCATGCGAGGATCACCAGGATGCCTACAAGAACTTCTCAGAGGGAGTGTAAAAGACCCTGACCAAGATCTTCATTCCAGGACCCCCAAGAAAATCCAACAAGGTCGTCATAAAAGGACCTGGTGTTGGAGAGGATCTTAAAAAGATATTGATACAAGCATCTTGCGAGAGCATCACAGAAGGGCTTGCATACAAGCACCTCTAAGACATGACATCTGCAAGATCTTCATGCAAGGACCTCTTAGAGAGGATCTTGCCAGGATCTCCACCAGATCTTCTGACAAGGACCTCTACAAGATCATGCAAGAGCCTCGTAGAGGACCGATCTCCACAAGATCTTCTTTTTGAGGACAGGTTCAAGATCACGCAAGGACCTCTGAGAGGACGCTTGCGGGATCTTCACAAGATCTTCTTAGGACAAGGACCTGTGACAGGATTTCATCAGGATCTTCAGAACATCTTCTCACAAGGACCTCTACAAGACCTTGCGCAAGACATGAAACTATTTCAAGGTGGTCATATAGAGGGGCCTTCCAGAGAATCCATAAGATTTCTTTACCAGAATATCAAGGAATCAGCTGAAATCAGCACCGCGCCACAACGAGAGCGAACCAGCACGCAGAAAGTGCCGAGATGCGCGCGATATCAAAATTCGCACCGCGCCACAACGAGAGCGATCTGACATGCAGAAAATGGCAACAGGGTTGCGGGTTTCAGCCATTTTTTTTTGCCGAAGTCTACAAAGTGTATGCGAAAAAAAGGCCCCAGCCAAACCCCGGCCCATACTTCGTGCGAGCCTGCTCAGTTGAAATGCACATGGACATCTCAGAAGAGGCCGTTTACGCGAGAAATTCCAAGGAAAATGCTTCAGACCAAAATCGCGGCGCTCATCTTGTGCGAGGCTGCGCAATCGAAATGAACATGGACAGCTCACAAGAATTTAGTGGCAAAAATGCCAGAGAGCGTACCCTGATCTAACCCCGGCCTTTAACTTTAGCACCTACCGTAAGAACCTCTCAACATCTGCGACAACGGACGCACGAAGGCGGCGGCGTCGTGCTGCACGTTCGAAGTCAATGAGATCACGGTCATGGCCTCAGAATATTGGAGTTTTAATGAGGTGGTGTTGGATGAATATTGTGAATCAATTGAACTTAATGGGGGTTTGTGGGATGAATATGGTAACTTAATGGCTCCATTAATGCGGTTTTGTGGGATGAATATGGTGATTCAATGGAATTTAATGGGATGAACATGACGGTTGAACACAACTTGATTAGGGTTTGACCATCAATCAATGGGGATATAGCTATCAAATTGTTGGGGTTACAACTAAATGATCTAATACGCATATTTGAATAAATTATATATATATAATACCATCAGCTACTTGGCTGGGACCCTGGATCTTACACTGTAGACCCTAAAAACGGGGTCTGAAGAAGAGTTCCATAGCTAAATCAGGAAAAACAAGCTCAGTGGTCTAGACCCTTCGACTTTACAGATGCTGAAGGTCTGAAGACGTTTACCCAAGCGTCAAAAATACCAAAAAAAATGTTTCAAACAACATGTTTTCTCTCGCTCATTTTTTTCTTCGCTGCTGTCACACGTTTTTCACCAGTGCTCTTGGGCTCTTGCCATGAACATCCACACTTCAGGAATTGTGCAAATCAGAAAAATTCTGCAAATTTCAGGTTTTATTTAAATTTAAATTTATATTAAATATAATATTTTTAGAAAAATAAATCAGAAAAAATCTGAAAATTTCAGATTTTCAGAAAAAAAATGAAAAATTCAGAAAAAATCTGAAAATTTCAAATTTTAAGAAAAAATCTGAAAAAATCAGAAAATAAAATTTCAGAAAAAATCTAAAAAATTCAGATTTAAAAAAAAAAACTGGAAAAAAAACAAATTTTCAGAAAAAAATTGAAAACATCAATAAGAATCTGAAAATCTTATTTTTAAAAAAAAATATCAGAAAAAATGAAAATCAAAAAAAAATATAAATATATAATTTTTATAAATAAATCAAACTTACCAAAAAAAATAAAAAAAACTATTTTAATGCAAGTGAATATTGAAAATAAACTATGTTTCAAAAATATTACAAATTATATTAAGTCACTGAAAAATGGTGCCGGAGAGGCTATCCAGACCTTTGGGGGTCATTGGAAATCTATGGGTGCAAAAGTCTACAATAAAATGCATTGGAAATCTAGTTGTGCAAAGGACTAGACCTAACATGGTTGGTCAAAAAAAACAGTCTTGATCAGTGCCAGAAAGGCTGTCCAGACCTTTGTACGACCTGGGGAATCTAGCGTGGCGAAGGTCTAGAAACACAATGGCCAGCAAAACCAATCTGTGTTGATCAAGGCCAGAAACGCTGTCCAGACCTCTGTAAGAACTGGGGAATCTAGCTTGGCAAAGGTCTAGAGCTACAATGGTCAGCAAAACCAACCTGTCCTGATGATTGCCAGAAACGCTGTCCAGACCTCTGTAAGAACTGGGGAATCTAGCTTGGCAAAGGTCTAGAGCTACAATGGTCAGCAAAACCAACCTGTCCTGATGATTGCCAGAAACGCTGTCCAGACCTCTGTAAGAACTGGGGAATCTAGCTTGGCAAAGGTCTAGAGCTACAATGGTCAGCAAAACCAACCTGTCCTGATCATTGCCAGAAAAGCTGTCCAGACCTTTGAAAAAACAAGATCTGCCTTACATCTTCAAAACAGAAAATTATGGGACATCCATATATCAAGTCCAACATAGACACGCTCAAGGGTCTATAGTACCTTAAATGCGGAGGGCCTACAGTGCTCCTGGAAGTACTCTAGGCCCTGGGCCCCTGAAGCCTGGAGGGTTGGGTACTCTAGACCTTAAGTAGTTGAGGTATATATATATATATATGTGTGTGTGTGTTGCATGATACATATGTATAAGTTTTAAAGTGATACCACCATCAAGAAGAGAATCAAACGAATTTGGGATGTGCCAAATGACGGGGCATCAAGGAATGCAATGTAGTTTTACAGGATGTAAAGAAATTAATAGGTTGGTTCAGTGGGATTTGATGGATTTCGCCGTTTCATGGAGCGTCGGCCAGGAAGATCAGAGATGATCTCCCCATGACTTTTGATGCTTTGACACATAAAGCAACATGATGAATGACAATACTTCAAAAAACATGTGTTTAGAGTTCTTTTAAACCGAATTAAATTGAATTGGGTTCAAATGTCAAACATATATATATGTGTGTGTGGGTGTTTTAAACATATCCCAAAAATATATCATATTTATTATTTAACCGTGAAAAAAATCTAACATCATAGAATGCACGATGAGTTATATTATATCATTAAATGCTCTTGAAGACTTAAAATTCAGCAGCAGCAACAGCAACAACAACAACAACTGCTACTACTACTACAACAACTACTGCTACAAAAACTACTACTACAACAACAACAGCAACAACCACTACTACTACTGCTACTACTACTGCTACTACTTCCAAACTACTACTATCAAACTACTACTGCTGCTGCTACTACTACTACTACTGCTACTACTACTACTACTATTACTACTACTACTACTACAGCTAAAAACAGCTACAACTACAACAGCTACAGCTACAACAACAACAACAGCAACTACTACTACTACTACTACCACTACTACTACCACTACTACTACTACTACTACTCCTACTTCTAGTACTACTCCTCCTTCTCCTCCTCCTACTACTACTACTACTACCACCATCATTATTATTATGTTCGGGCCGGGCCCCCGAACCCAGGTGTCGAACACCGTGAGAGGCACCAGGAAAGAGTCCAACACAAACCTGCGGCGGTGCTGCTAGATGCTATTTTAATCATGTTTCTGGGAATTTCTGCGGTTTTCTATATAGGATTCTCTGAAGTTTTAGAGAATGTGAATGGATTTTATCAGATTTTCTGGATTTGTTTGATTTGTATGGGATGTCTTGTCATCAGCATGCGAAACAAAATCTTTATTGGCGCAGAAGTTCTAACCAAGCCAGACCAGGATTCAATGCCACTCATGGGTACCCGGCATTTTTCTTCGGCTGGTACCAGCACACCCCACTTGCAAGAGGATGGCGACTGAGCCGCCCAAAAACGTTCAATGGCCATGAAATGGCTGATATGGGGACCTACACACTACCTACCCTCTGGTAAACATACAAAAAGCTATTGAAAATGGCCATAGAAATAGTGGATTCACCCATTGCAAAATGGTGATTTTCCATAGTTATGGGACAGTTTACCAGAGGGTAATCTATTGTGATACACTACCTATTTTTTTGCGGCTCATTTGTCATTCATTTGAAGTTGGGCAAACCAAACATTGATGGGAAGGTGTTGCCTGAAGCCACCAACGACAGGATATAGCTACCTGAAACCTTGATCCGCACACCCGAGTTTTGCACATGTTGAAATGTGTATCACAGTTTTGACCCAGTTGATAAAATCATTCAGTTTGCTTGGACCTATGCAGTTTCCGCCATAGAAGGACATCCCTGGTCTACTCTGAGCCATCTGTCCAAAAGAGCTCCCTGGACACTTGCAGTCGTTGCATGAGGTCAAGAACTAGCTGTGAAACGAGATGTCTCCCAGGCCCTCCCTGAGATCATGATCTTCTGCTACCGGATTCCCCGACAAAATCCAAGAAAATGACATCAACCTGGGGTTCATTGATGTGTCAAGGGTTGGCATATGTTGGCATTACTCCAGCCCGCTTCTTTGGTGTTGGACTTTTGGAGTCCACAGTTTAGGACCGTTTGGGAGGGAGCTATTTCCTTCATTGGTGGTTTCAGTATGTTTCAGTTATTGGCGACTCACCCCACAGATTCCCACAGTGGGTTAAAAATACGTCAAATCAACCAGTAAAATCTAGAAGCAATGCTGGACAACAGAGATGAACACTCCAAGGGACGGGGATTTCAGCTAAGGAACCAGGGATCACGCAAGCGGTCCCAGCACTTCTCGAAAGCAAAATATCTAATGCAAAACTCTACGACGAAATAGACGCCTTGGATTCAGTCAGGGCGTGACTTCATGAGACCTTCTGACTTGGATGCTTGCAGCCATGAATAGGAGACAACATACAATCCCCACTGACAGGTCTTGTGTTAGTCGGGTGTCTGGGATTTGCTGGTTCCCAATGGTTAGGTGTAGTTATAATCCGCAACTATAAATGTGCCATGTTATGTCATCCAAATACTATTTATGTCTAATCATGGCTCTTTCGGGGGTCTCCCCATGAGGGAATGTTGCTGGGGAAGCTGTCATTCCCGAGCCCCCCAACAGTTAAACCCTTCTGATTTTAGCAGCGATTCTGTGTTCGCCAATTGGTTGTTGGCTGCTATCCCAAAAATCGAGGAACAGTACCGCGACGAATGCCCCGCTATGAACGGTGCTTGAAACAGTGACATGTTGAAATTAGACATGGGCACAAGCCCAGTAAAACCGCGCAGATCCACCCGGTACTTCCTTAGTCTGGGACGACCATCACCATGAATGATAGTGTTAATCCGCAGCTGCTTACCTCCCCCTCAGACCAAGCAGCAAAAGAGCTGATCTGCCGTCTGGAAAACTGCCTAGCGATTCAGCAGGTTTGTTTCGCTGCTGAAATCTGGTTGTTCTGCTGAAGGTAAAACACAATCTCAACCAAATGGGACTATTCTGCGAGCACTAATCTAGTTTGGTACCGCGTACCGCCACCCCAGCCCCAAAGTATTGGTCATTTACAATAAGTGAATCATTGAAAATCATGCAAAGGGGAGATGGGAACATACAACAAAAACACGTAGTCGACCATGTTGGGAGACGACTGATGACTCGTGGTAGCCGTGTGACCCACCGCCCTCTTCGGCCGGCATGAGGGGAATTGGTGAATATGCTGTATCTACATCTGCACATGCACAATAGGCTGTGTGTAAATGTACATGTACATATAATACGCTCATCTAATCCTATCCATCTATCCATCTATGTATCTAATTCATGTGCGTATATTGTATCATTTGTATCTATCTCTGCATCTATCTATCTACCCCAATCTAACCTGATCTAATCTGACCTATACCTCTCCCAGCACAGCCCACGGCAGCCCATCGCCCATCGCCTGTGCATCGGTGATGAGCAGTTCCGTGTTCAAGTCCGCATCGATGCCCATCCACACGGCATAAAAGATGATCATGACCTCTGCAGTAAAGATCCACCCGGGGAAGGATCGTCCCAGAGTCGGGCTCACTATGTCATGAGGGGTCATGATAGGTCATGGAAATCCCCTACTCCCCAAGGTTTTAATAGGAAAGTAGTCCAGAAATGAGGGATTTTCAATTGCCACCTTTGACTACTGGGAGGAAATATATATATATATATTATTGTTATATTATATTTTATTAAATTATATTTTATTATATTATTATATATTATGTTAAATATCATTATATATAGATATATCATATCATATTATATTATTTTATGTTATACTATAATATATTAAATTGTATTATATTATGTTACACTAAATTATTTTACACTATACTTTATGATATAATGTTCTACTAAATAAAAACACATATTATATTTTATTATATTGTATTAAATTAAATCATGTAATATTAACTTACATTGCATTACATTATATAATTCAAATTAATATTATAATATAACCACATTCTATTATTTTGAATTATATTATATGATATTAAAATATATCACATAGTATTAATTTAAATTACATTGTATATATTCTATTATATAGAACTAAATTATATTATATTATATTTTGTTATATTTTGTTAAACTACATTTTATAATATGATATAAAATGATATTTTATAAAATAAAACTATATATGATAGTGTATTATGGTTTATTGTATCTAAATTAAATAATATAATGCAATAACATATAATAAATATTATCCAGTAAAAAAAATAGATTACAATAAATATATATATATATGTTATGTTATATTATATCATATTGTATTATATTGTATTACATTACATTATATCATACATTATGTTCTGTATTGAAACATATTATACATAATATTTTTATGTGTCATATTATAAAAAAATGTAACATAAAATGTAATATAATATTATATTATATGTTATGTTATGTTGGGCGTTACATTTATTATATATACTGTATTATGTTATATATTGTATATATAATATGATATATTTATAGAGAAAGGGAGAGAATTAATGTTGTTGATAACCCTGTGATGTAGGATCATCCCACGACCCGTAACTGGTTCACAAGTGTGGTATAGTTCATGCGTGTATAAATGGAAAAAAACAAAAAAAAATCGGCGACTTACCAACCAGGGTTGTTTTCACCACTTACTAAGTGGGATGATCCTCCAAGCAGTAAATATTACCCTCTGGTTATTTAACATAGCCATGGAAAAGCACCATGTTTAATAGGTAAACCATCTATAAATGGGCCATTTTCCATGGCTATGTTAAATAACCAGAGGGTACGTAATTAAATAATTAAATGCACAAATATTGTGGGTGTAAATAGGTTTCTGGTTTAATCTTACAAATTCTTCATATTCGTCAGGTATATGGATCGTTCAGAACGGCTTATCCCATCCCGCTAGTGATGGTTCTTTTTATGGGTCGTCGTACCTAGTGAAGCTTAGATCACCTCAGGGGCTGGGAAGCCAACAGCTCACTGTACCTGATGCTGTTGTATCCCATGGCAGGTAATCCATGAAGTTCAACATACCAATGGAACTAGGGTTCCAAAGCAAAAAAATAAAACAGCTGGTGGCCACTGGTGGCCATGGCCATCCAAGATGCCATGTCCAGAGTTTGGAAGTGCCTTGGATGGCCGGTGACCTACATCAACCTGATGGGAGAACCGCGCACTCAACCCTGGTCCTGGATCTTGAGAGGTCTTGACCGTAAAATTGTCGCCAGTACCAGTGGATTGGTTTTCTTGGGAAAATCTTAACCGGAAACCATCGATTTTCCGATGAAATATGGGGGCTTTTACCCTGAACATTTTCCCTTCAACCAGTCCGTCGGATCCAGTTGTGCACATCATGGTAACGTAGGAGGCGAGCCACGTAAAACGAGCCAAAGCACGCCACCGATTTTTTCCGGATATTATGATATAGTTCCAATATTCTTAACACCCACCAAACTGTGGACGGTTTTTTCGTCATACTCTGAAATCCACATGTGGTTTGTTACAGTGCAAGCCCCTACTTATGATGGTTTATTGTAGCCCACAAATGGTTGATACGTGGGCATGGCTGGTGGCTTCACTGAAAAATCTGCTCGTCATTGGGGATCATCATCCCATGTTTATGGTTGCACATCAAGACTACTGGAAACCACCAGACATATTATTGTTGGCTAGTGCATCAGATTCCAGAAAACATTCCAGATAATGTCCAGATAAAATATTCCACAAACTATGCTGTAATTATAGTTGGTTAAATCCACACAAAAAATAGAATCTGCTTGGTTAATTATCCTTGCCATTTGAACGCACCCACCAGCTGTTGAGATTGGTTATATGATATATGCCCATTCTATTTCCATGTCAGATGGTCTTCTCATATCCCCATTAAATCTCTACATTACATCAAATATTGCAAGCATAGTTGGTTAAATACGGTTATATCCCCACATACAGTTGGTTGGTCAACGATCTCATTGTTTTTTGCTCTCATCACTGTATGCTGTTTCATCATCACTATATGTCGCTCTTTTTAAGCTAATGATTCATGATTCCAACATTTTGTTGGTTCCGCATACATAAATCCCAATTTATGTTTATGTGAGTAAAGAAATCATAAACAGTCGTAAACCATCCCCAGTTTTACCATGTTTATGGATGGCATAAACCATCATTCCATATGGCTGGTTTGTGACATTGTTTTACTAACATTAAACCCCATTCATTTTTTGTTGGTGAAGTATATATACCAATAATTTGCATCCCAAATATGTATATACAATAAATAAATAAGTAAATAAATAAATAAAATATATATATATAGGTCATATAAGGTCATATTATATCCATTGCGGGTTGCCACTTTCTATTACCTCACCTGTTGATCCCACATTCTGTGACTGCGCTGAGCCCAGCTTCGGATTTAAGGCGATTCGTCGGCACGTGGAATCCCGCGTGAACCTACCCTCTTTGGGTCCTGGAGCCAAGTCGCCAGGGCTGGGGGTTTTCATAGTCAGGGGGATCCCTAAAATGGATGATTTATTTCATGGAAAATCCCAATCTCAAATGGATGACTTGAAGGTACCCCCATTGAAATGGAAACCTCCATATGAGCTCTTTGAGGTGATACCCTGGAAAATTCCATGGGAAATCTAGCTCAAACCATAGCTCTCATCCCTTACTTTCCGGGGAAACCTCCGTGAAAATTTCCCCAAAGGTGATCCTCACCGCCCCGGAAAATCGCATCCTTCTTGAAGGGCGGTCTCGATGGAATTTCTCACCTCAAACTCCGGGCATCAGGCTGGATCACCACCAGACCATGGGGCGACTATCTACAGGGAAGCACCACAAACCAAAAACCCCAAGGGCAAGTCCAGGCAATCCCAGCCGAGTTTTGGGCTCAAGTTGATTGAATATTGAATGATAAGGACAAGGAAAGCGCAAATCACCAGCCAGCAATGACAGGTTGTAGTCCAATATGGTACCTTGACTCCAATTCTTCCCAAAGGACCCGTTTGGATTCTGGGCAATTTTATCAAAACTAGACCGATTTGATTTCATGGTGGTTTTCCCTTCCTCGTCACCACTTTTCCGACTTCTGTCACGATTTACATGATGAATCGCAAAGGCAAAACCCAAACATCCAGATGGTTGAGATTTGCCTACCAAATCCTAGCAATAAACATACGCATAAACCATCATAAACCATCTTTCTTGGATGATCTCATCATCCCATCCCAGCCGACCGCCGTAAGCTGCCGACGCTTTGATGGCTCGGGAAGACGGAGTTGCGTCGAGCTCGAGGTGTGGGTTTGTTAGTCTCCATCCTCAGAGGCTTGGAAAATCCTGCGGGCCCCGGTGGGCCTAAGAAAGCTCGATACAGAAAACTCACCATGATCGCCGCACCGATGGACTCACCACGTGGCCACTTAGCTAGGAACTGATTGTTGGGTGAAGGATTCAATAATGAACCATCTCCAATTGGTGGTGTAGCATTGGGCCGCTGCAAACAAGATAATAAATGTATATAAATGTCATGGCCACACCTCCAGTAAATTGACATAGATATGGATATGGAAGATGACCTTCGTAGAAAAAACAATAGGTTTCCATATATATATATATTGTTTTGTTCCATTCTCGAAGAGTATTTGGGTGCTGGTTTCAATCCCTTGTCACAAAGAATGGCTGAAAAGCAACAAAAGTACCACCAACCAGATTCTTGATAATTACATGTTCCATCATGTTCCACTACATTGCACACATCTCCCATGAAATATACTATTTTTTCTACTTGGTTGGTTAGTCATCGCCATTCATGTTGGATCATTGGGGATGGTAACCATGGCTTTATGATGATCTATGCCTATGCATCCACCATCTTGCAGCTAGGTCGCTGCTCTTGATCCTGGCTTGAGGCAGACAAGGCCTTCTGCACATTCCTCAGTGGAAAGGGACAGGACCCTGGCTCATCTTGGGCTCCGAGGTGGAAAAAAAACACTGAGAGTTTGAAATAATCCCCCGACTCCCTGAAATGATCAATATATTGAACACATATCTTGAAACATACCCCCCTCGAAACCCTGATTCAGAGCTGGACCTATTCATTGTTGGGGGCACACAAATTGAAGGAATCAGGAAATCCCAGACCATTGGTTGCATCCCGACAATTCCGAGAAATGGAGTCTGTGAACTATACTATGCACAACTTGAGGTTTATCATTGGGATTACCACACTGCAGGTATATATGCTGCAGGAATTGCATTCTTTTCGTACAATTAAGAAACGTTGGATCCAGAAGGTAGAGAGATATGATATAAATGCTAACCTAACCAGCCCAAACATATTTTTTTTCCTCCATGGTACCTAAGTTTGGCCGACAAAATCAATTTTGCATTTCTGTCGGTGCATCAATGATTTTCGGTACTAGTAGTGAATGATGGGGCAACAGGTTCATGGCTACCAATGGGCATAGTAATTTGGACGACTGCACACTTGGATGTACATTTGAGGTAGTAAGTGGTCAATCATGCAATATGATTGGGACACTCTGTATGTACCCGGGCGAAGCAAGAATGCTTTCAACAACGCAGCTGGAGATCGCATCCAAGTAGAAACAACATCAATTTGCCAGGCCAAACCAAGAATGGTCATTAAAAACATTTGGTCCGGTACACTCGTTACACCCATTAGATAAAGAGTATGATTAAGTTATACAACCCCAAAAAAAAAAACTGGTCGCTTAGTTGGTTAGTTGGTAAACTAGTTATGTGGTTAGTAATTTGTTAGTTGATTAGTGAGTTCATTAGATAGATTGTTTGATTGGTAAATAGACAGGTAGATTTGATAATGAATGATAATGAATTATAATGATAGATAATGAAAGATATTGAAAGATAGTGATAGATAATGATCGATAATGATCGACAATCATCGATAATCATCGATAATGATCGATAAAGATGGATAAAGATTGACAATGATAGATAAAGACAAAGATAGCTAAAGATAGTCAAAGATAGTTAAGATAGATTAAGACAGGTTAAGATAGACAGACACACAGACAAACAATCTACACACAGGTTATACCAATCAGCACAAATCCTTCTGAGCTCGGCTCCCCGAATTTTGCCGCGGCGTGCTGTCCTGAAAATAGGGCACCAAGACCGAGGAATTCCCATGATGGTTAGATAGGAACCGATAATCATATACATTGTAGACATACATAATTGCAATAATAACTATAGTGCTCTATCATAATTCTTGTCATGCTCAGAACGCTAAATTTGGAAATGTTGACAATTATATGATAAATCGCTACTGACTGATGGTATACCCCCGATAAATTACAGTATCATAAATGGCTAGGGTATAATTCTGGTGGTATACCCTACAATCTGCCAAGGTCATCGAGGAAATCCATGGTCTCAGGATTTTTTTGGATGGTTCGCCTGGGAAAACCTACCAAACACATAACATACCCTCCGATAAACTAAGATAGCTATGGAAATCACCATTTTAAGAGCAAAACTAACTGTATTTTCTGGGCAATTAAGAACGGGTACTCTTTGGGCTGGACTTGATTTTTGGGGATCTAGGGGTTAAAACACATGACCCACTCACAAGCAATAGCAACCCCATAGACATACCATTCACAAACCAAGAGCATCGATTAAGATATAATTCACCAACCACTGGACATTTCATGGTTGGATAGAACCAACCAACCGTTCAAATGGTTAACATACTGGTGATTTATAAACCTCTTAAGATATAACAGAATTCGATATAGTTGAGCCATGAAACATGGCTTTATCCCATCCCATAAAAAACTGCTTGGGGTCTCCCACCTATTGCCACCCCTCCCTCCAAAAAAAAATGACAATTCACCAAAATTCAACTATTTGATTGGTGAGTTGATAGCCGTTTGGTATCCCACCCCTCCCTTGAGTTAGTATAACCCCGCAAATTCATCAATCAAACAGGGCTATCCATGGCTATCCCATCTCAATCATCCCAAACGTTCGCTTTCTGGCCGTCCTGGGTGGCGCTTCGCTGCACGTCCTGGATGATAGGATGGTCGCAGGTTTCAACTAACTTCGCTATGGAACATTGCCTATGACTTACATATGACTTACATGGTGATTTTCCAAAACGCATTCCATAGCTACAGTATGTTATGTTAGATATGTTAGTTTAATAGGTAGAAAATGGCAGAGTTCAACAGTTCAACCCCTCTGACTGGCTCGACTTGGCGGAATCCCTCCTGCTAGGTTTCAAAGAATTGGAGGAGATAAACATGGTCTGGCTATTCCACAAGAAACGATCGAACAGTAAATTAGTCCTAAAATAATGGCAAATGACTGTTTCTATCCTTTTTTGGGGTTCACATGGGTTTACTGCAACTACAGTATCTGTCCACTCAAAGTCTGTGTTAATGTATATCTGCTGTTTCTTCTGCAACGCACCTCCAGCACCCGTATGTTTATACCAAAGAAATCAAACCCAGCAGTGCTGGCCACACAAACCATTGCTATTCGTTGTAATTACATCTGTTGTCAGAGGTTCTTTCAGAATATAGCCGCACATAACATAGCTGCATCCTGTCTTTCGCATTCGTGTTGCTTATGTTTATGTTGCCGATCTTATGTCAATGATTCTCTTGTGAAAAACTATGCGCTTGCTTTCTCATAATCTGCCACAGGAAATGACCCAGCGTGTTCTCCTTCCATTTACAATAAACATAACCAGACAAGTATGTAATTACATGTGCACGGAACTAAATATAATCAGTTGCAACTATGTTTGGGGCAATGTCGGACAATGGCTTTCCTATGTTTTCCTCATAATATGATGCGACCCTCTTGCAAAACATCTTCATTGATGGTGAGAGATCAGTAGAGTATCATGATTTATCATGATCCATGTTCCTCAAATCTTCCACGTCGGGATGCCTCTAGAATCTCAAAAAAAAAAACATGTCGCCATTGCAGGCGCGGAGCAATGCTGGTCATGCTGGCCGTGGGATCCGGTGGACTTCCGGACCTGAAACCATCACGATGGGAGGCCGACGAGGTCATCACTTGAGAATCTCAGAAGATCTCACTAAAAACCCGTTATTTTACAAAGGTTTGGGGATTGCAACCACCTACCAACTTTGATGAAGAATTGGCGCTTCCAACTTCCAGGTCAGTTACTAACCAAGGTTTGCATGTTGTGTAGCCATGGGCAGCCTTAGATACCCCTTCAAAAAGGAAAATTTCCAAGCAGATCCAAGCAGGACAGGACATTCCTAAGTTTCCTAACCAGTAAAATGTGGGCAACCCAATGCCATAAACCTACCATTTGGGGATGGTCAAAATCCAACCTATTGGTAGTGATTAAAATGGGACGGCTTATGACATAGTCTGTGACATAGTGAAATAAATCATGCAAGTATAACATAATATAACTGTTGATGTGGAATATCCCTCAAGACATGTGGGTGTAACCCCCAACAGCCACACAAATTCTCAGCTGTTCCGGGTGCCATAGCGAGCCGCACCTCATCTGCGACTCTCGTAGGACCCGATTCTCTGCCAGCACCAAATCGTACTCCGCGCGCATGGTGCTGATGGCATCGAAGAAGATGGCGCTCCGATCTGTCCGCCGATTCCAAAAGTGTGAAGTGTGGACATCTACAGGGACAGTGCAGCATATGCTGATACATGCTGGGGAGTTTCAAGAGTGTGGCGATATTGTTGTGGATAATTGTGAATATGTTTGGATATGTTTGGTATTTGCATTCAATTCCTATTCCAATATATGGGGGGCCAATGGGGGGTTCTTGAAATATGGGATCCCCAAGTTCAGTTTCAATGCTAAGTCATGGTCATCCATGACGACTGGATGATTTGGGATACCCATTTCAGGAAACCTCCATGGCCGTCTCCTGACATTGGGGCATAAAAACTCGTCTTATGATGTCTGATGAATCTTGTTGGCTTAATGGCTAATGCATTTAGAAACTTTGCATGCCAGAAGTTTCCTAGTCCGCCACAAAATCAAACACATGCAAACAGTTCCCTCAATTCTGCTTTACTTTATCATATCTAATGCTCCCAGATACTCATGGAAAAATGCTGAACTGGTTCACCGAGCAATCATTTGACGCAGCTGCACCCAAGGCAACACTTTTCAGAACTACGGTAAATAAATAAATATTTATACATATATATATATATATAGGTCACTTAGTAAGATGTACTAACATATATAGATTAATTAGTAATTTAGATTCAATTAGATACTACAAATAATGCCAACCCTCTAGTAAGACTTGTTAACCTACTTACTTCCTAAGCCAGAGGAAGATGACATCGCACCTGGGCCTACCATGTCAAAGCTGGGAAGGCTGCTGAAGGGCATGGCGACACGTGGAGATGGAGGCGCTGCTAGTCGTGGTGCCCCAGGCAGATGGCCATGTTGACAGAACTCACCATTCTTAGAATGATCATAAATCATCATAATTTTATATATGTCTATCGGCCATGGTTTCCATAGCTATGATGTTGAATAACAAAAGGCTAACCCCTTAACTACATGGGTTTGCGCATGTGTTCTCAACCCATAGGGGGCACCATCCAGGACATGTGTCTGAATCGGGGAATGTTTAAGGGCTACCATGGGGCCACGAGTTGACGCGTGAACCAGCTGTGCCACGTAATGGATAAGCAAATTGGAGCCTGGAGCGGGGTCTAAATCCAACAAGGTTTAAGCTTAATTGCCGCTGATTCATGGTTTTAGGTTTCCCGAATGTTAGGTAAAGATTGGAATATGATGGCCTTGCCTTCTGATTCGCATTTTTGCCGCATTTCAAGCCACACTGTTCGACGTTACTGCAGAAAAGTCCAGATGTGCAAGCCAAAATGCACATATGGGCGGTGAATTGCAGTGATGCATGCTAAGAAAGCAAATCAGCAAATCAATTCCACTCCGCTGAAACCTAATTTAATGTCTGATTCACAATTGTTCTAATTATTTATATTAATGTCGTGCAATCGATAAAGAAACTCACCAGAAATGGGTGGTATAAACCCTCCAGAAATCGTCCTTATGGATGTTACAAGGTGGGACGCCGCCAGGGAGATGTTTGTTGATTTTGATTACCCTTATTAAGTATAGTCATATCTACAATGAACCACAGAATTCACCCAGTCACGTTCACCAAGTCAGCTATCATTGACCGGGATGAGCAAATCTGAGTAGCAACTCTGCAACCCGCAAGCCCTTTTGCAACCCCCAGAAAAATAGGAAAGTCAAACCCTAACATTATTGAACATATCTACAAAGTGATAAACATACAGTTCATTACATGTCTATCGTTTAGCTATTTTTTTGAAATATGTTGGGTTCTTTTAGGGTCTTTTGGATTCTTGTGGGGGGCTACTATACGACAAGATGAAGGTATCCACATTACACCCTCGAAGTTTGACAGCTTCGGGACTCCCCCACTGTCAGACAAACATGGCTTGCTGGAAAATCACTCGCTTGTCACTTGTGCAATGGATTTGCTAGATTTGTGTAATTAGAGGATTTACCTTTCTAGAAGGAGAATTGCCTATTGCCATTCTAAGATTTGTGGAGGGTTTCCATACCCCGAGTCATATACAGGTTATATGTACGTATATGCATACAATGTACTTTGACAGTGTCGGCTTGAGGCGCGTTTGTATGGAAGGATGCGCCTTTGCATCGAATATCCCCAAGTTTGTTGGTCCAGCCGTCCAGAGGGTCGCATCCACATCCAATGATTACGGAACTTGAGGGGTCAGTCTTGCAACACCCTCCCCGGACCCAAAATGGCTCCTTGAGGAACATTATCTTATTCTTGGACTTCGTTCGACTGATACCCAAATATAAAGAACGACAATGTCAGGTGGTGATTTGAAGAATTGTCATTTCAATAGAACTCGCTCAGGTCTTTTTTTCAAGAGCATTGGGTTTTTCGAGAGCTTTGGGGCAGATGTTTGGTCATCTAATTAGTATTGGCATTAGCCATCCAATTTCAGGGCTACATGAATGGTATATATATATATATACAATTATATATTATATATATATATATATATGTATTATCTTGTCTTGAACCCCGCCGAGGAGAACAAACACAAACACACACACACACACACATTTTGTCTCGCGGAAGTCGATCTCCATCGCTCTCCGAGAACAGCGTCACTGACCTTTTGGGAGGCGTACGGTGGTCGTTCAACTCGACCAACCCCCATAGAATTACTGCTGGTTGGTGGTTGGCCTACCCCTCTGAAAAATATCAGTTGGGATGATGACATTCCCAATATATGATGGAAAATGATGGAAAATAAAAAATGTTTGACACCACCAACCAGATAGAATTACTGTACTGCTCTGTCTTTGTACCAGAGAGTAAGGTGATTTAGGGCGTGGACTGGAGTTGCCAAGTCAACAACTGGTTGAAATCAAAATATTCCATCATGTTGATTCATTTTGGGGAGTTGCTACATGTCAATAAGCATTTGGGGGAGCATCATCGCAGGAGTGCTGCACGCACTTTGAGCTGTATAAGTCTTGGCCTTAGAACTAAGAACGATTCTGAGACTAGTCTGGCTTAAGTCGAGGCCTGCCCAGAATTTGCCTGCGTCCATGTTCAAGCACAAAGCTAGGATTATATATATATATATACACCATATAAATATAAATATATTATCTAGATATTTCTTGTTTCTTTAGGCGCCGCTGGTTTGAACCCATGTGGCAATATATGGCAATGGAACATCACCAATTTATAGATGGTTTTCCCATGAACACCTACATTTAGGATGTTCGATTACAATAATGATAGCCGGACAAACACTTGGGCCCTTGCCCATGCCTCCCCCGCCTAGCTTCACTGCCATCTTGAGCGGAAGCAGTTTGACCTGCAAGGCATGTCTGGGTGATGGTCGAGTGGTGCGTGGAGGATGATTCCGAATTGCCAAACAGTCAAACAAAAATGGGATGATTCGAAGTTCAAAATCGTAGCCAAAAAATGTGGCTTCTGACCCAGACATTAGTGGCTTAAACATCTAGCTACCACAAATACCAATCAACAAAAGCTGCTATAAATATGACAAACAAGTGTTTGACTAGATTATCTAGATGCAAACAAGGAGTTCTCGGAGTTCACACTCGTTCATATCAAATCTAAATGTATCAGATATTATCAGATCATGGATATCGCAAGTCCCATTCCTCTGGCCGTGTTCCATCTCCCTTGGGTCTGTTTCTGTGTGAATCCTGGGGCTGTGATCGATCATAGACATTCATTTTCCATGGCAACACCAAAAACATCCACCAACATACGTTTAACCGATTGGATGTTTCCATATCCAGGAAAAAATGTATGTTTACAATGTGTCCTCATCCATATAGAATAAAACACATGCAAAACAAACATGTTTTCTGTACCGTGTTTGACCATCCCTTCAATCGTTTTAATGGATCACGATCAGGAAGCCATCTTGGGTTCCAAGAATTCCCACCAATCCCAAGGTGAATATCAACCCTCAAGCAACCTAGACCTGGAGAAATTCATTCGTGGTTTATCATATGTTTTCCTAATAGCCATTTGGGGGTCTAAGCCCCCATTTTCAGACACAACCGTATATCATACAGTTGCTTAGTTATTATGTTACACTCTACCCCATCATATGCCACTAAAATCACCATTAAACCACATTATATAACCAGCTATGTTACTACCAGCATGTTTGAAAGACATACGACTCGCCTTTCTTCCGCCGACCCTCGGTTGGGACAGCTGGTTTTTCAGATGAGGAAGATGGATCTTGGCTAATGAAGGCCCCAGAGCTCCCCCAAAAATTGGATGTAGTTCTGAAACAACAGTTCTGAAACAAATCCCAGAACAAGCCGCTTGGCAATATTAGTATATATATATATGAATGAAATCTTTAAAAAGATTAAGCACCGCTTGGGACGAGTGTACACTTTTTAATGCATCAACTTAAATGATAAACATCTGTGGCTCAGCCAATGTTTGGTCTAAAAATTGGGTACCTCATGGAATGACCCATGCTCTGAAGCCAATGAGCAAAAAATCCCCCATGCTATTCGGACATCAAAATCCCCATGATATCCCCACTGCTGTATCGCCTTAGAGTGATGTGGTTTGGTAATACATAGTCCAAGTCTTCTGTTGGTGAAGTTAAAACCCCAAATCTGATAAAATCGGCCCATTTGATCCCCATTCTCGTTGGTTACTGCAAAAATAAGCGCTCCAAAAAAGTCAACCTTTCCACCAATCTCAGCCACGGTGAGACTTCGCTTCTCTCTCAGCTTCCTGAGCTGAATGTCTACGAAAGTCTAGGGATCTTGAATATGAGATGATATGATCATCAAAGGTGAGACATACAAAATGTAGGTGATATGATTCTGTTTTATGTAATTATCACAATTCTATGTCAAAACCCACTTACATGCGTATACATTGCCACATATGTATACATTATAAATAATTATAATTATAATCTATTGTGCAACTGTATGCAAACTGAGAAATGATTGCAACTCTGCACTGAATCATCTCTCGTGGTCTTCCCTTCATGGAACGCTCCCCCTCAGGCAGCTGACGCAACCATAAATTCTAGTCGTAACGCCAAAGCCTGCCACGTTCGAAACGAACGGCCAGAGATCAGCATGGAACACTGTAGCAATGGTGAACTCGACCGAGCATATATATATATATACATACATACGCATAGATACATCTACAAAGGATGTAAAAGTGTAAACTTAATAATCAAGGATAAAATATAGTTATATAGTTAATAGCATTTTTTGTTTAAAAAAAAACAGCAAGCAAAGCAAAAGCGCGGCAAACATGTAAGACAAACCAATCGAAACTAACACGTGTGACAAGCACGCAAAAATATCATGCCGTTGTCATTGTCCTTGTCTATCATTTCAGGGCGAACGTCGATCCCGGACATGTCTCCTGCCTGTTGTGAATCATCCATCCACTTTCTCAAGTCAACCATGTCCTGGCACTTCACCAAAAATGTTTATCCAAGACTTGTTTGTTTGGGAATGCATGAGGATACATGAGGCACCAAATTTCATGTCAATAGCTCCCAGAATGTTGTGGGTCTCCTTCACGGTAGCAGTGTTTGCACCACGCAGCCTTGAAAAGCCATGCTGGCGGTCGCAAACGTCGACAACCAGAAGGCTGAGATATGTTGGAGGTAGCTCGGTCTATCGTGGACACTCCCGGGCCCTAAGTCCAAGGATACTTCTCGCAGTTGGTGTGATGACTGAGGATGACTGAGGTATCATTCAGGGCCCCGGCTGCATGACCAGCTCCACAAATTCCGCCATGGGCATCTGATGATCAGTGTCTTTTGGAA